TTTATCTGTTTCAGGTGGATTTTCAATGACTTCAGATATGTTTACTAAGGCTTGTTCATCAAGATGACGAATGACAGAACTATATTTAATATCATCTGATCGAATTCGATAAACCGTAAACTCACTTTCAATAGAAGCAAACCAGAGTTTAGGTTGTTTATGCCAGAAAGTCGGTAGTTTTAATAAACGAAACTCATTTGAGTGAATTTGTAACATAGGATCACTCACCTGATGTCCAGTTTGAGAAGGTAAAATATTAATATTTTCTGATCCAACCTGATTTGATCCGCTCGCCAAATCCATATCAATCTGTGTATCCGAACAGGGTCTAACTGGTGATCTATCGATTGGCATTTTCTTCTTGTTCCAGGAATCCGATAAAATGATTTGAGAATTTCCGTGAAGGACTAATCCGCCTCTGATGTTTCAAAGATCCGGAGAATGAATCTCTTAAAATCAGAATATCCAGCAATTCTTCCAAGCGATGATAATATTTCGCAGACTTCAAATACGACGATCACTTGGCACTTATTCCGCATCAGCCTTTAAAATGCGTCGGCTTTAATATCACGTCGGGGTCACCAAAAATGTAGCGACTTATAAATAAATTCACCAGATCTTTGAAAAAGTAATGTTTATTCATTGAAAGTATAAAGCGAAAGAACAAAAAGAATTAATATGTAACAAATAAATGAATGAATGTGTTGTTATGGAAATATTGATTTTTCTTAAAAACATTATGTATATTAATGAATTGAAGTTATTACAAATGTATAAAGATGTAAAAAGTGTAAAAGTGCAGTGAAAAGTGTAAGGTGTAATAAAAGTGTAGAGTGTAAATGAAAGGTGTGGATGATGAATGCTACATATATATACCTATCGATTTATTTAGCTATCTGTCTGTCTATCTATCGAACTATCGATCTACCTATCGATCAACCTATCTATCTATCTATCTATCGATCTATCTGTCTCTCTGTGTTCCTGTTTCTGTCTCTCTGTCTCTTCTCTCTTTTCTACATTGCATTCTTTCATACATGCACACGTATATATAATTTTTTTAAAATAATCTGCATTACATAAATAAAAATAATTAAATTTATAATCTAAAAATATATAAAAATCTTTTATGAATATAATTGATTATAAAGTTTAAGTGGATAATTTTTTGTAATAAATAAATGATTTATATAATTTAGTCTTATCTAACTACTGCTCTGTTTTGATAATAATAGTATTATTATATTCAATCTTCAAAATACTTTATATTAATCATTTATTTATTACAAAGGATTATTTTATAATCAATTATAATTATTATAGATAAGCTTATTATACACATACACACACACGCACACACACACTTACATATAACTTGTTAGCTAGAATGTGGACAAAAAAATTTTTGCCACACTCATATATGTATATATATATATATATATATATATATATATATATGTATGTATGTAGATTAGGGTGTAAAAATTTTTTTGTCCACATTTTAGCTAACAAGTTATATGTGTGTGTGTGTGTGTGCGTGTGCGTGTGCGTGCGCGCGCGCGTGTGTGTGTGTGTGTAAAAACAGGCCTATCTTTTATAATTGATTATAAAGTAAATAATTGAATAAAAATAATTAAATTTATAATCTAAAAATATATAAAAATTGTTTATAAATATAAATATAAGTTTTAGTGTATAATTTTTTGTAATAAATAAATGATTTATATAAAATTTTATTTTTAAAGATTGAAGAGTATTTTTGAGATTGAATAGATAATAACACTATTATCAAAACATTATTATCAAAACAGAGCAGTAGTTAGATGAGAATAAATTATATAAATCATTTATTTATTACAAAAAATTATACACTAAAACTTTATATTCATAAAAAAATTTTATATATTTTTAGATTATAAATTTAATTATTTTTATTTTGGTAATGTAGATTATTTTAAAACAATTATTATATACGTGTGCATGTATGAAAGAATGCAATGTAGAAGAGAGAAAATAGACAGAGAGATAGAAACAGATAGATCGATAGATAGATAAATAAATAGATAGACAGATAGACAGACATATAGATAGATAGATAAATAGATAAATCAATAGATAGTTCGATAGATAGACAGACAGATTGTTAAATAAATCGATATATAAGTGTATATATATTCATATACAGGGTGTCCCAAAAAGGACGGAACACTGAAAAATCTCGAAAAGTATACGTTTTACAGAAAAAGTTTCAGACAAAAGTTGTAAAAAATCTATTAATTGATCTTATCAGTTTGACCTTGGATTGCGTTACCAAGGTTAGAATAAGATCACCTTGAATTTCTTAGATGGAATCCTATATTTTTTATTACATATTCTCGTAGCTTATTTAGAGAGCTTTCCAAAACACTAATAAAATTATTGTATAACGCCGTCTAAGGTCAAATTGATAAGATTAGTAAATAGATTTTTTTCCTACAATTTTTGTCTGAAACTTTTTTTTGTAAAACGTATACTGTTCACAAACGCGCTGCGTGAGAGAGGATCGCGCGGCACAACAGGATAAGTCACCTTTTGAATAAAAGAATTTAATTCTCAAACACACTTAATTAATTACATAATATTTGTCTCGCAAATGATGTATACCTTATGCAGCTTTGGATCTTATGCAAGATTGTTGACGCGTCATTTTAATCTCTTCATTCAAGCACTGCGTATAATCGTCAAACGTTATCGTTCTCGCGATAACGTTACTCTTGACATTTTTGACTTTTTTGTATCTTTCTTACCATCCACTCGCAAAGCGTACATTTTTGTTCTAAACCCTACAAATTCAGTCATTATCGAGCCGTTGTTTTCATCTTTCATTAGACCTGGTACTTTTTTATTCACTAGCGGTATACCGTACGCATTGTCCGCAGCGTAATCGCTCGTATCAAATTTGCATACATCGCGCTTCATATTCTCATACACGTCTTCGCATTGAATGTGATATATAAGACTATCTGTGTCGGTGTACATTATCCGGCATTTGTCAGGATACAGCGGTGACATGTATTCGTGATGAAACTCGTATAAACACGTTTTAGAAATGTCGAGTATGCACATGCCTACACATAGATTGGTTTATAAAATTTTACTTCAAATTTACGTAATTTTACGGCAATTAAATTATTTGAAAAGATGCTTCTACTATAAAAATTTGGTTTTGCAATCATTGCCTCTACACCGTATCTCCCTTCCCAATATGTTATAAGTTTTACATCAATTCGATTACGCACATTTTCCATCATCTTACCAAATACAGCATTATTTATCAGTTTATATAAATTTTTTGATACTCTAAATCTACTTCAAGGATATAGCCTTTAGATGAATCGAGCGCAATAGATGATACATCAAAATTAGATACATCATCGACTCATCGAGAATCGGCATAAGGCAATGGTTGACACATTGCCCATCCGTACAAATTATTTACGTCAAAATACATGAAATACGATGATGGTTTCAATGGATCATACGATTGCATATACTTGTTATTAGCATGTGCATATCTGCTTGAACATTGACTTATGTAGACCACCGCGTATACTCCGTTCGATAAACATGACCATGCCAATGTCTGTTAATAATTCAAACGTAATATTTGTATGTTTTAACATGGCATCCCATGTATATTCCGGAAGGGTATAATAATACGCGGGGTCGAGTCCATAACTTTTAATACAACTATCCCGAAAATTTTCAAAAATATCTGCTAATAACAAGACATCGATTTTCAAATATAGATCGCTATATTCGTCTAGCGTTCCAAGGGAAAATCGTTTTCAGACGTTCTCGGCGTGCGCGTAATCGCTCTCGATACTGTGTCACCGATCAAGGAACTGTAGAATGAGTCACGCGGTGGTAAACGTGTATCTTGCAATTTAACTACACAATCTATATATTCATACGGAAAGACGCCCGTCCGAGTTAATAAATTGAATTTTTCAGCTATCAATGCGAGTTTTAATTGGCTTCTGCTTTTCTGCTAAGGTGTGAATCCGGCCTTAGAATCGGTTAATCTTTAAAAATTTATTGATTCTCAATTAGTTTCATTGAAGAGAACAGTTGGTTATAGTTTAATATTTTTCTAGGCACGAAAATGTTTTGCCTTGCTTGTCACATCATGGCTTATCTGCGGGTCTGCGATCTGCAGATAATTTAATATTTTAATATTTTAAATATCGTCTTACGTTCTCCGAAAGAAAGAATCGTAAAGTAAGCAGGGCCTAATACTAGAGTAAATCTCATTTAGAGAGCTGTCAACTAGCTTATCTTTAAGGCACCGCGAGTTATAGTTTAGAATTTATAGATTAGTCTGTTTGGCTCTCGCGGTTTGTACATCTTTTATTTTGACGATTTAGCTCTCTCGGATTATGTTTACTTTGCCTGTCAGATCGTATGCTTACGTGAGTTTTCTATGCGTCTGCTATATTTTAGATATCGCATTGCGTTCTCCGAAAGAAAGGATCGTGGAGACTGCAGGACGTAACAATATTTAATAATTATTTGCGCGATAATTACGGCGTTAGTTCCTTTGTCTTTCTTTTTTATTTTTATATTTAAATTTATGCAACCTGTATCTACTTATTTAATTTAATTATTTAAAACAAATATTTTGTATTGTTCTTGAATCTTTTGTATCATTATATTATTATCATATTATGTATTTAAGTTCATATCAATATTATGAAACGTATTCTTCCAAGGCAAACGATACTCTATTGTTCCTATACATAAAATCAAAACATTATTTCACTTGTGTAAGAAGCAAATAAAGCAAACTTTAAGGCATAATAACTTTTAGTCATTCAAGCAATATTCAACAGAAATCGTTATCTCACATTTCGCATCTCACTCAAAATGTTTTACATAAAATTAATTGCATCTTTTTCAAGCATTAAAGAAAGTTATTTTATTATCAATATTATTATAACTTACAACTGAATCACATTAAGAATTACATGTAACACATACATTTTTTATTTATTTTAATTTATTTCGCTGTTTCGAAGAGCACGTTTTTTCACAATTTTGGCAGATGCAGTTTTTAAATCATAAGCTAAACCTAGATAAGCAAAAAAATCAATAAAAGCTGTAGCAATATTGAGCTTATAATTTCCAAGTTCCGCCGCTTTGTAATCCCAAGGGAAAACGTGATGATAATTGTGCCAGCCTTCGCCACACGATATAAAAGAGACAACTGCATTTTCGGTGGGGCTAATTGATCTGTGATAAAATAAACATTTCTAAATAGTACCACGATATAATACAATAAACAATTTATTAATTTTGAATGATAGTATGTATATGTTATATTTTTATTAATTTTAAATAATAGTATGTATATGTTTACATATAATAAGTTGTCAGCATATACAGTCAATAAGTATAAATAATATATAAACATAAAATAATATGTGTAATACACAAAATGATAAGTTACACTACTTATCATATGACGTTGTCACGACTATGTGAGCTGCAATTATTTGAAATATTTGTGTATAATATAGTTTAATGTAATGTTATAGCACACCACAGTTCATTACTCACTCCATACCACCTACCAATAAGTATAATGTCATGTATAGTAAATGCAATAACAATACAATATATATACACACAAAAGTATGTACGTACTTATCATATGGTTACACACATTGAGCTAAATTGAAATGTAAATAACACATCTAAAAGATAACACCACAGATTCTCACTATAACCAAGTATAATATAAACACATATAAATATCGACCATTATAAATAATTAATTAAATACATATATTTTTTAAATTAAATTTGCTCCTGCAGAATAAACTATGTCCATCGTACTTTCTCTGAAAGACCACAAGGCAATCTTGTTTAAGATCACTCAAGTCGATCATAGCACCCTTGCTGATGACGTCTGGATGTTTATGAACCAAAATCCAACCAATATGCGAAAAAAAGAATCCTTTACGTGCATTATATGGATCTGCATCAGTGTCAGTAAATTTATGGTGTACTCTGTGATCCCTAACCCATCCGTAAATGTGACCCTAAAATACAACTTATTAAAAATCAAATGATGATGTACGGAGGTTATAAAGAGGAGTACGGACTCGGCATCTTTACACGTATAAAATCTGCAGCAATAAAGTCGGGAAAAATAAGGGTCGACTATTTCATCACATGCGGCGCTTTGTTGCATTGCTTGGAATTTATTTACCAATTTTATATATTAAGAGATACGGTAGTGTCTCGCGCCCTGTTACCGGAATAGCCGATACACCGTGTATCTTTACGCGAAGCGGAGAGTTGAGTCTACTATAAATTTCGAATGCTCAATAACGGCTGAAGCAATCGAGTTTATACTAAACTTAATCGATAGATTGGGTTTGAATTATATAATAAAAGTGTTTTTATTTCTGCTCTACGTACTTTGTAAGCGGAAATATTTATATGCAAAGTCTAAGTATGAAAAATTTCTTTTAAGAAACGTCTCTGTCACCGTCGTCATCATTCACGCAACAGCCAATCGCATGCGTTAAACTCTGTACAGTTTGAGCGTTCGACACAAGATTGCGCTGAAGGCGCTTCGTATGTACTGATACACGTTGACGTGCGGGGTTATATATTTGATTTGATTTCTTGACATGTACATACACACATAACAGGTATGTGTGTTTTGATATTTATTTATAATATACTATATTTTTTTATATAAGAATATCTATTTTCTTGTTACGCAATCATCCTATTATTTTTTTCATAAGATTAACAATTATATTCTTATGAAAAAATAATAGAATGATTGCGTAACAAGAAAATAGATTATATTATTATGAAAAAAATATAGTATATTACATATTATATAGTATTGAATACAACATGTATTTAAGTAAGTATATAAATGCATATTTATATTTTGATATTTGCAACTACTTTCTTGTTATGTTATCATTTTAAATTATTTCTTTTATAATAATAACTTTCTTGCTACACTTTCTTTTTTTATAAGTACATAATTATTGATGTAAAATAAGGAAACAATCTTTACCAATAATAATGATTTATATATTTATGAAAGATGTAGTACAATGGTAACGTTGCAGAAAATTATTATGAAAGAAATAGTATAAAATGATAACGTAACATAATAAAAGTAACAAATATCAAAAAGTTTATCAACACAAATATCAAATATTATTATATAAATATATATTGTATTTATGAAAGAATATGTTTGTGATATACTAAATATGTGATATGCAATACTGTACATATATGTGATTATATTATGAAAATATTTTTTCATATAATAATATCTATTTTCTTGTCACGCCATTATCCTATTATTTTTTCTAAAATATTATAAAATTAACAATTATATTCTTATGAAAAAATAATAGGATGATTGCGTAACAAGAAAATAGATTATAATAGTCTGTTATATATGTATATATATATATATATATAGTAAGAAATAACCCGCTGTGGAGACACCTTTAGGTGTCAGGGCGTTTGAGGTGGTGCTTATGTAGAGTGTTGGCGAGCGAGCGCCACCGGAAGTTGACAGGACATAGAGAGACGAGCGCGGGCTGAGACAGTCAGTCTCTCTAGAGCCTTCCTTGTAATACTTACTTACTTAAGAATATACTAAGTTTACCACTAAGGTGATTACTGATTAATCCCTGCCTCATTATTTTGACCTATGTTCTTCCATGATTAGGAATCAAACGACCCTCTTACAGCCTCAGAAGTGGGATAAAATCTATCCTCTCATTCCTGGCTCTCGACGTCCGCAGTATCGCAATTATCAACGCGGAAGTACGTCGATCGTTTATGCGATTATACCGAGCTTTGTCTTTTTGCGGATACACGTGGCTCGCGGTCAGTATCGCAGACGAGGTGAATAATGAATAATCGGTTCAAGCAGTTAAGAGACTAACAAGGGAAGTTCGGCAAGTGTAAAATTCAAAAAAATCTGAAACTTTGTATAAGTTTAGAGTAGATGAACCTAATCACGAAACAATTTTTTTTAGCTGCTGATATTCGGTTTTAGGGGTGCAGCATCCCCTTAAATAAAATCGGTGTTTACGTTTTCAAGCGAATATCGCCGAAATAATGAGAAATATAAAAAAATGTTTCCAGCAAAAGTTTTATGGTTTCGAAAGCTCTTTATAATGGCATGATCATATTTTGCAAAAATGTTTAATTTTTCAAAATACCCCCACCACGTATCTTTTTTTTTCATATTTAAATTTTTCTTGCAACTAAAATTAAAGTTTATTTCACGCCAAATTCAACCATATATAATAAAGTTGCGATCCGTAAACGTGTTTTTGAGAAATAAACTGAAAACATCCTTACAGGGTATGCTGTCAATTTTATCGGCCCGCTAATTTTGGCTACGACTTCTCTTTCTCCCCTTCTCTCTGTAATTTTTCGCAATACAAGATAACGATGAAACAGATGTTCGTAATAAATCTAATCACGTAACTGATTTTTGTATATTACACATTTTATAAATAATATAGTAGTTTTTACAAAAATAAGATATTATTTATTCTATATAATTGTTACAATAATGGTATTGTTCAAAGAAGTGTTCAAAACAGAAGTATTTTTTGCACCATGCACAACGTATAAAAGCCATTTTATCACAAATGCTACATTTCGGTATATGTTTTTCTTCTTTAAAATAACAGTAATTGATTGGATTTTCAAACTTTTCAGGCCGTGTTGATAAATAGCCACTTTTATACCAACTATATTCAAATAAATTTCGAAATCTTGGAGAAGAAAGTTGATTGTGTGCCAAAGACTGTAATTTTATAATGTTATTGCGTAAATGTAAATTTATATCGTAATTATTTAAAATAACATTATCAGAGAAGCTTCGAATAAAATTTTTCCAAATTCTAAAGCCAAAAACATCTAAAGGTTGTATAGAACTTGTACCAAAAGACAAACAAGTAAATATTTTAACAATACCAAAAAAAACAACTGCTTTTATACAACCTTTAGATGTTTGAATTAAAATTGACAGCATACCCTGTAAGGATGTTTTCAGTTTATTTCTCAAAAACACGTTTACGGATCGCAACTTTATTATATATGGTTGAATTTGGCGTGAAATAAACTTTAATTTTAATTTTAGTTGCAAGAAAAATTTAAATATTAAAAAAAAAGATACGTGGTGGGGGTATTTTGAAAAATTAAACATTTTTGCAAAATATGATCATGCCATTATAAAGAGCTTTCGAAACCATAAAACTTTTGCTGGAAACATTTTTTTATATTTCTCATTATTTCGGCGATATTCGCTTGAAAACGTAAACACCGATTTTATTTAAGGGGATGCTGCACCCCTAAAACCGAATATCAGCAGCTAAAAAAAATTGTTTCGTGATTAGGTTCATCTACTCTAAACTTATACAAAGTTTCAGATTTTTTTGAATTTTACACTTGCCGAACTTCCCTTGTAAGTCTAAGACTTGTGAAGAAACAAGGAAGTGCTTTGTTCGGTCGCCATATCGAGTATCGAATCCGTGCGGTTTCTGGACAAAATCACGCGACTCTCGTCGCCATATTAGCGCCCGAGTGACTCGTTGAAGCGATCATTCTCGCTCTCTCAGAAGAGATATAGTCCTTTCTATCGCGGAAAAGTGCGTGTTGACATTAAATTTTTTTATTACTACAAAAGTTGTTCTTGGCGTGCCGTTATCGTGTATATACTACGTGGCATTACGCTAGACAATTTTTACGCGTTGGATGTTTTCTAGCCTATTCATCGTACTTTGTGCGTGTCGGCATCATTTGAGCGTTGTTTTCGAAGAATATGAGAGTAAACATTAATTTTTTTTCTTTTCTCGAAATTTTGTTCTTGGCGTGCCGTTATCGGGTATATACTACGTGGCATTACGCTAGACAATTTTACGCGTTGGATGTTTTCTCGCCAATTTATCGTACCTTGTGCGTGTCGGCACTGAATTGGCATCCATTAAGCGTCGTTCCAGAAGAAAAAATAATAAATACTTATTAAAACAAATCGTGCATTGCAAAAACTTCTTACCAAGTAACAGGTGTTGATGTTGATATTTTCCTTTTATGTTCGAACGTAACAATAACATAATTAGATAATCAGATAAGAAATATACGTCGGCTCTCAATATTATTAATAATAATAATACATGAATTTTAAATCGGCCAATAGAGCTCAAGCGCAAAAAATTAATTCTTCGAAACTGTATCTCTTGGTTTGAGATTACTAAGTTCCATATATAAATTAATCTTGAACTTACATATGGAGAAAAATAGGCGAGAAAAATATAGGTCCGAAAAGTTGCTGAAACGGGAATCGAACCCACGTCTTTAATTTTCCGGGCGACTGCTCTTACCAACTTTTCTCGCCTATTTTTCTCCATATGTAAGTTCGAGATTAATTTATATATGAAACTTAGTAATCTCAAACCAAGAGATACAGTTCCGAAGAATTAATTTTTCGCGCTTGGGCTCTATTGGCCGATTTAAAATTCATGTATTATTATAATTAGACAATGTTGAGAAAACAGCTTAACGGTTATACGCAACAAGCGCTAGAAGAAGAAGTCGCCAAATGCGATCTCCCAGTACCAAATACTCGAGAAAAATGTATCGATGCCATCATGGCATATTTCGAGCATTCTAATGCAAAAAGAAGAGCAGGATCAGATCGAGTGCTAAACACGTTTAAAGAAGCAGGCACAGCAAGAGCAGCCTCGCCTTCATCGGAAGCTTCTGGACAACAAATCACTCACAGTGCAGTATCAAATGAAGCATCCTTACCGCTATATTGCTCATTACTGGTGGAACAAATTAAACAGCAACAAGCACAAATCAACAATCAAGAGACAATGAAGCAGTTATTAGAAGCATTATCTCTCGGAAACGGGAATCAGCGTGCCTGTGTCAATCCAGCTTCTATGTCTCAGGGGGAGAGGCTAGAAGACAATTTCAGTACACCAAATGTACAGCAGCAACCTACCCTGGCTACTACTTCACCGACCCAAGCCGT